TTCTTCAAGGAATTCTACCAAATATATAAGATAGAAATGACACCAGTCATCCACAAAAGCCATTTCATGTATTCAATATAGAAAGGCTAATTATATTTTCACGTAATTTAAAAGACACTGTTTAAAACAACATTTCAAAACTTCAAATCTGGGAACAAATCTAATGAGAGATCTACAACACGTATATATAGATTAAAAATACAGATACAAAATACATGGAAGAATATAACTTTTACATGGATTGGAAGACACAATACCATAAAAATGTCACTTCCCCCCAAATGGATTTTCAGATTCAATGAAAATCAAATTAAAATCTTAGCAAGTTATTGTCCTGGAAATTTTTGAGAACATTTTAGAATCATATTAAAAATTTATATGGCCTGAAGTGTCAAGACGATTTAAAAATTTAGAATCTAGTTGGAGGATTTACACTATGATAAAACAAGATTTGTTATAAAACTATAGTAATGAAGAAAATGTAGTATTGGTATAGCGATAAATAAACAGACCAATGGGACAGAAAAAAAGAGCCTAGAGCCTAGAAATAAAAACCTACACAATAAATTGAAATTTGGTTTATGGCAACACATGGGAGTAGTGAAGAAGCAATTGTGAATAGACAAAGATGAATTGTGGTAGACAAAGATTTCTCATTCAGGACACGGAACGTTAGAACTATATGAAAAACAATTGATATATAAAACTACATTACAATTAAGAGAATCAATTCATCAGAAGCACAATGAAGAGAGTAAAAAGGCGAGCCACACCAGGGAAGAAAATATTTTATGACAGATGACTTACATTCAAAATATATAGCGAGCCAAAATCTATAAGAAAAAGAGAGATAGCCCAGTAGAAAACTGGGCAAAATATTGCATATACATTTCACAAAATGGAATATCCAAATGGCCAATAAATATTTGAAAATACGTACAACGCTGTTAGTCATTAGGGAAATGTAAAATATAATCACAGTGAGATACTACTATGTACCTATGAGAATGGTTAAAAAGGAAAAAAACTGACAATAACAAGGGTAGAGAAAGGATGAAGCAAAAATAAAAATCCTAATGTGTAGTTGATGGAAATTTAATTTATACAACTGTTTTGGCAAACTGACAATGTTAGCTAATGTTGGGCGTGCATTTAACTTGTGATGTAGCAATTACACTACCAGGCAACTGAAATGGGTACATATGTGGGATGAAAGATGAGTGTGTTGTATGTGTCTATGAATGTTCATAGCAGTATTGTTTTTAATAGCTACAAACTAGAAACAATGCACATATCTAACACAATGGATATATAATTTGAGATGCTTAAAGTATGTAGTAAATTTCTGTGGTATTTGCAGAATATAAGGGTTAAGCACTATATACATAGTTAAATAATTTGACAGACTGAAGTACTCTTTCAGGAGTCAGAATGAGAAAGGTTTCACAAAACAGTTGCATCAGTTGTGAAAAGATATTTGATCACAAATAATGCACAACTTAAGTGTCATGTTAAAGAAGATAATGTTCAAAGGTCGTATAGATGATCCATGAATAACTAGACACTTGGGTCAAATATTCCAAATCGTGAGTGTATGGACAGAACATCATGGGCAAGTTACAGCTTCCTCAAAGTGAAACTTCAACAAAGGCTTAGAAGAATGTCCCCTGGGGAACTGGGACTTTGAATTCTCTTCTCATGTTTTGGGCTCAGGAAACACTAAATTCTTATTTGTAAATTCTCTTAAATGTATATGTAAGAGTTTAAGGTGAAGAAGTCACCATATTGAAATTCCTGAATGAAGGAAAAAGAAATGAAGGGGAAAAATGAAAGAAAAAAAAAAAGAAGAAAAAGTAAGAGAAGCCTAATAAACACAGCATAATTGGCCTGCAGAGATTTTCTCTCTGAGGGGAAAGAAAATAACTTCTAAATCCTGCCTCTTGCCCAGCCCTCTCTTTCTGGGGTAGTGCTGACCTCTTGTCATCTCCAGTGCTGTATTAGAACCTTGAGCCGTGAACCCAGGGTTTCCTCCTTAACACACACAGCTGCTTCCTAGACTTTTAAGCCTTACGTGACAATAGGAATGAATTTGGTTGGTGGAATGATAAAAGTCTCATTTTGGCAATTGGTTCCAAGAAACCATAGCTTGAATAGCCAAATTGAGGAGGAAGTTATTTTCAGATACCTCTGAGAAGAGAAGCATCCAGCATAAGGCTTTGACAGCTTTCACAGGAATCGCCAGGCTTAGCTGGTAATGTTTCCTGCATCCCACTGCAGCACACAGCAGCACTAACTCCTGGAAATGTGGACTAGAGGACAGGTTTGTGTTGACTGGCTCATAAATGATGATGGTCACAAGGTAATTTCATCAGAATAACCAAAGCATATGTTGCTGTCAGCACTGTGGCTATACCTAAGGAAGTTGGGATTGGGAGAGCAACTCAGCCAATCAACATTTTGGGAAAAACTCAAGTTTTCCATGTGGCTTTGTTTTTTGAAAAGAACACTTGTAATTCATCACCATAGGAAGCTTGAATCATAAACTCAGGAAGAAAAGGTGATACAGGAATGCCGTTCGCCTTCACTATTATTGTCAATTACAACATTGCCACCTTACTTTAGAAAATCCGCTTAACTTTTATTTACATACCACATTTTCAAAAATGTTTTAAGCTTTATTATTTTATTCTTTGTTTTTTTCTTAAGAAATCATTATTTTTACCCTTAGCATTGTATTCTTATTTCATTAAGGATACGTATATTGCCGCCCTCCAATGAATTAGGAAAGATTTGCACTTATGCTCCCTTTAGACAGATCAAGAAACGAGTTAATGAGAGATGAACTGGTAAATGCAAATTCATTGGCAAAGCAGTTCATACACTCCCAGGAAGAGGCCGTAAAAAAAAAATAAAAAAATAACGAAGATGATGCAGAAGTATGACATGCTAACTGCAGGTATTTTTATTTTATCTTTAATCAATACCTTCTTGGGCCTTACTGGCCAAAAATCAGGGATTACTAAATTTTGTCGAACCTTTAACTATTTTTATTATTGTTAAGAAGTAAGAGGTTTAAAACTCCAAGAGATTAATGTCAGATGGTTTTTTCAACCAGGTTTCCTTATTTGGTACCTGAGATCCATTAACGCATCATCAAATGTACCCTTCTCTGTTAGTTTCAACCCTTTGCTGATGAAATTCCTTTATATAAATTGTTTCATAGGTCATAGTAGAACTGACTCCTACTCCATTGAATTTTCAAAACTAGTTTATAACATATTGTCTGTTTATGGCCAAGTCACATGGACAGGTCCCAGGCATTGATTTTCCCCTTTGAGATGAGGCGTCTCTCTCTTTTTACCTGCAGTACCTGCCAGTTATGCTTTCATAATTTGACTATTTTATTCATTAGGGATTAAAAAAGGGTAGGTTTCTTCTTTCTTTGATAGAAATATTATGAAGTGATTTATTAATCTTTTGAAGCTTTAGAGTACATTTTAAAGAATTAAAAAACATTTAGTACTTTTATTGCCTCCTCTCATTGTAACTTACCTAAATTATCTCTTGGGATAGGAATGGTTTATGAAGCTTAATTTATTCAAAGGTGAATAAAGGATTATCATATCCAAATGTCCATTGACTTTTTGTCCGCTAGCTTATCCAAGTGCTCTGGACACCCTATTTATCTGCAGTTAATGGCACTACCTGACCACAGATGGAAAGTAGGTAGTATTTGGTTGGAACATCTGGGTCTAAGTTTCATTTTCTTTTGCCACGAGACAGAGTAATTAAAAAATAGAATATGTGGGAAATTTAGAGTAGGTTTTGGTAAGACCATAAAATGTTTCCAAATCATTTGTGATTTGAATAAGGTGCAAACACAGATTACTAAGAGTTTCAAAGAGCATTTTTGAATACTAGAGCCCTTGAACTTTCCAAAATACTGTTTATCATCAGTATTAGAAAGTTTGGAGATGGTATTGAGCAGGCTAGAGTGTTACCTTTTGGTTCTGTGAGCCACAATAGAAGGAGAACAGTACAGAGATAAGAGAAGACAAAGTTTTCCAAGGGAGTGGAACAGCAAAGTATTTGAGATGAGAGCAAGAATAAAGGGAATTGGGAGAAAGAGAGCGAGAGATAATCAATAGTCATTTCAATGAGTTAATTTCAGTTAATTATTTTCCATCACACTATGGTCTCCAAACTGTCACTATTCAAGACATAATGCAAATAGAACCAGTGGGAATATGCAACTAGATGACCATTATCTCTCAGTTAATAGGCTAATACTTCTAGCAAATATGTAAGTTCTTATCATTTATTAGGGAAGAGAGTAGGTGCATCACTGACATATAGTTTCTGGACAGTCATAGCCTGCTGTGAACACATACTCTGCTACTTTTCTGCAGGAGGAGGAAAATGACATTGGGCATTCTTTCCTCTTACCTTATCATCCAGATAAGAGACTTTTGACAGTTTTTTATCACTTAAAAATCTATTTTATGTTTGCTTTCTAAGATGAAGCCCCAAGTTTCTAATTATAAATGGATAAAAATGGGGCAACATAGTTTTGTAGTCAGGGAATTCAGAGATCAAAAAATTTAAAATGTGTTCGTAACTGTTAGGTTACTTTACTATGGATTCTGAGACAGTAAGGAGGGAAAAACGGGTATCCAACAAAGAAGTAAGCAAACTTTATAATTAGAAATTGGATGTAAAAGAAGAGATTCCAGTTTCACAGTCGATCTTTTTAAGTCAAGTGTCCACTCATTTTAATAAAATCTTCCCCACTTAAGGAAGAAGAGGTTTTTTTCCTCAACAAATGCGAACATCTACAGGTTCTATTGTGGCCAGAACCTTCAAGGAGATGTATATAATCTGGAAAACCACATCACTTAATATTAGATGGGCTACCTGGTGTAAATGACCTCATAAAGCCTCTGCCACCCTGAAGTTCTGGGACTTACTATTTATGACTTGGGTTTGGTCCTCAGAGGCTCATGGGTAGAGAAAACCAGACATGGATGTGTGAATTCATTCTGCTCGGATTGTCCAGTGCCTGGGAGACTCAGATCTTCCTCTTTGTCCTGTTCCTGGCCATGTATCTGGTGACTGTGCTGGGGAACTTCCTCATCCTCCTCCTTATCAGGCTGGACAGCAGGCTCAATACACCCATATACTTCTTCCTTGGTGTCCTGTCATTTGTGGACATCTGTTATACCAATAGCACTGTCCCACAGATGCTTGTTCACTTTCTTTCAGCCCGGAAGTCTATACCATTCCACAGCTGTGTGCTCCAGCTGTGTGTCTCCTTGGCAATGGGCAGCATGGAGTTCTTCCTGCTGGGGGCCATGGCCTATGACCGCTACGTGGCCGTGTGCCACCCACTGCACTACAAGCTCATCATGCATGGAGGGCTGTGCCTGGGGCTGGCGGCCGGCTGCCTGGTGGCTGGCTTCTCAAATTCACTGATGGAAACAATTATCACCTTCCAGCTTCCCCTGTGTCACAATGTTATTAATCACTTTGCCTGTGAGACCTTAGCAGTGCTACGGCTAGCCTGTGTGGACGTCTCCTTCAACAAGGCCATGGTGACCATCTCAGGGTTTCTGGTGATCCTGCTTCCCTGTTCACTGGTCCTATTCTCCTATGCTCGCATAGTTGCTACCATTCTTCGCATTCCTTCTGCTCAGGGGCGCCGCAAAGCCTTTGGGACCTGCGCCTCTCACCTCACTGTGGTTTGCATGTGCTTTGGGGCTACAATCTTCACCTACATGAGACCTGTGGGTGACTCCTCCATGGAACAGGAGAAGATGGTTGCCCTCTTTTATGCTGTCGTGACTCCAATGCTTAATCCCTTAATCTACAGCCTGAGGAACAATGACGTGCGGAGTGTCTTACAAAGAGTGTTGCAAAAATTTAGTGAAAAAGGATGAAGATTCAATGAATTTCTCCTCCCTTCCAACAGTCCAAAGGAAGACATTACAAAGAAGAAATGATTGCTATGCCCTTTCTCCTAAGATTTTCTGACAAGGTGGACCAAAGGGAGCATGTTTTTGTACACTGGCTCTGGCACTATAGCTCTAAGAATCACAGCCCTGTTAAATATGTGGCAAGAAAACAAAAACAAAAAATTCCAATTGTGAAACTGGGGTCCGCTTGGGAATCTAGCCTCCTAGACTTCACACGCTTCCTTTGTTTCAGGAAATATACTGTGGACAGGGCGAAGAGCTTCTGAGTGAGACCAGCCACACTTTGTGTCTTGACCCTACCTCTCACCAACAATGTGGCTTTCAACAATCTCTGACCTCTAGTTCCCTCAGCTATTAAAAGAAGCCATAATACCTAATGTGTGATGATTTTGAAGACTATAGATAATCTTTTTAAAATACCTGGCAGAGTGGCTGGCATAGAGTAGATATTCAACTACTTAAAAAAGATTTTTAGGGTAAATTATAGGCCTAAGTATTATGCAATCCTCTCTCTCCCATATGGTTATTCAAAATGGGCTTTATAAAATTACTGTGGATATAGTGGCTTGCTGTTCTCTGTCTCCTCCAAGTGCTCTTGCCCAGACTCATGGCATCTATCACCTATCTATCCACACATCTATAATGAAGTTCTTAATTTTCTTAGTTCCGGAATAGAGAAGATCTTTCTCGTGGGCTCCAAACACATGTGTCCAATTGCTTGCTTAATAACAGTTATGAAAAATGAATCACATTCTTAACATGGCTAAACTGGTACTATTGTGCTTGCTTCCTCTACGGCAAACTGCTCATCTCTTGCCCCAGTATACCGTCACTATATCAGTAAAAGGAACACACTCAGAATAATTCTGGATTCCTTCCCTTTACATCTAATTGTCAATGAATTCTGTTAGCTTTATCAACAATTATATATGATTGACCTGCTTTCTCTGTTTCCATCTCTACTTTCTACACTTTATTCTTTACACAATAGCTTAATTTTTAAAATTACTATTTGTTTTTATGTAAAATAAAATACAGAAGCAGGAAACCACACTAAACACTTGTGTAACTTAGTGAATTACCATTAGCCAACCTGCTTGTCAGCACTGCTCAGATCAAAAATAGAACTACCAGCTACTGCAGAAACCCCTCCATGTGCCCCATCCTAATCACCCAACCCCTTTTCCCAATAGTAACTACTATGCTGATCTTTGTAGTAATCACTTTCTTGCACGTCTTTATGGCTTTAGGGCCCAAACGAACATCCCTAGTCCATCTAGTTTAGCTCTGCACATTTCCACTTCATGTGTCTTCAAAGTCTCTTCAACCTGTAGGTCCCCTCCAACTCTTTCTTTTTGCTGCAATTTATTTGTTGGGTAACCTGGGCCCTTTGACCTGGCGAGGACACCTTTATCTGAGAAAATAAATTAGGATACATCTCCTGCTTAGAACAAAATGCAAACTCTTCCTGTGCAGGGCCTGTTATGGTCCAGCTGCGGTTCCCTCCCCATTTGCACCTGCATCCTGTCTCCCCTCTTTCACTGCATGTGTTCATCCATCAAGGGTTGGGAGAAAACAGATAAATCTCTATAAAAAGAAAATGTATTTTTCTACAAGTCATGTGTATTGATGGAGAAAATGATTCTAGACCTACAAGATATTTGTGTGTGAAATCTTAGACTTAATCTAATTTATTTATACATATTGCCTTTCACTGGAAATTTTGAATTCTATAGATTACTGGCATCAATAACTCTGCTAAAAATTGTGTAAATTTTCAAATATAAAGCTGTTTTGATCCCCTACTTTTCAAAAGAAGAAAACCTGCTTTTGCAGTGGAAAGGGCAGTGTTGTCTTGGCAAGTTAGACTGTAAGCTTCTTGAGAGCAAGGCGGATGCTCCTTGTAGTCCCAGTGCCTAACAATGCTGTTAAATTCATGCTCATTGAATAATTTATCAATGGACATGTTGTTTGCTATTTTAGGAGTTGCCTTTTACGAAGTGTATAAAGATCATATATGTTAGAATTAAGATATTAGAAAATAAGGCTTTTAAAAATCTCATGTGCAGAGATAATTGGTTAATAATACTCATCAGTATATGAAATAACACGAGGGACCTCTTACTAATTTTTGAAAATTTATTACAGTCATGTATTGTTTAATGACAGAGACATGCTATGAGAAATGTGTCATTAGGCGATTTTGTCATTATGCAAACACCATAGAGTTGTGTACCATAGGTACACAAACCTAGATGGCATAGCCTACTACACACCTAGGCTACATGGTATAGCCTGTTCTCCTAGTTTACAAACCTGTACAGCATGATACTGTACTGAATACTGTAGGCAATTTTAACACAGTGGTAAATATTTGTGTTTCCAAATATATCTAAACATAGAAAAGGTAATGTGTTGCTACAACGTTCCGGTAGCTACGAAGTCAGTAGGCAATAAGAATTTTTCAGCTCCATTATAATTTTATGGGACCACCATAGTATATGAGGTCAGTCATTGAGCAAAACATTGTTATGTTGCATATTGCATTAATTCTCTTATATCTTATTTGTAATGTCTGTTTCTTCCTGGTCTTTTGGCCAACTATTCTAATTTGTTAATGCAATAAATATGTTTTGAGAGTGAATTTATCCATTTTTTAAAAAAATGCGTTATGTTGTTATCTGATTCTATGTATTCATTTTCTCCACTCAACACTGTAGTTTTTATTGTTTTTTTTGCTTGTTGGTTGGTTTGTTTTGAGATGGAGTCTCACTCTGTCACCCAGGCTGGAGTGCAGTGGCACTATCTCAGCTCACTGCAACCTCTGTCTTCTGGGTTCAAGCAATTCTCCTCCCTCAGCCTCCCGCGTAGCTGGGACTACAGGCACATGCTGCCATGGCCGACTAATTTTTTGTATTTTACTAGAGACGGGATTTCACCGTGTTGCCCAGGCTGGTCAGGAACTGTTGAGCTCAGACAGTCCTCCCGTCTCGGCCTCCCAAAGCGCTGGGATTACAGAGGTGAGCCACCATGCCCAGGCTCAACAATATAAAGATTCATACATATTGCTAGTCTACTACTTCTAACTGTTCACAGTGATCAATTATGAATCCATGGTGTTCACAATATTCTAGCTATCATTCCTGGTAGCTAAATATCCAACTCCCCAGCACCCTGGCATTCATATCACGATACAGGCTCACTTAAAGACCTGTGTGAAAATTTCTTGGGTGTATTTCCACAGGAACCAAGTTGCTAGGTCATAGTGATCTCTAGAATGGCTTTATAACTCTATACTCCTACTTCAGTGCACAATCATTCCTTATGTACAACTTCAACAACACTTGGCATGTTTTTATTTTATTTTTTTAGCTAAAAAGATAAAATTGTTTTATTTTCCATTACTCTGAAAAGTAATCAGACACAGAGTTTCATTCTCATGTTTTTCTCACGCTGAGTTCCTGATTCCCAGCCACTCTCACTCTGTATCATTCTGTTCATGCCTTCCTCGTCTCAGTTCATGGTAACTTCCTCACTGCAGTGATGAGTCCATTCACCACTCCTTTTTTTCATACCTGACTCAAATCTGCAAAAATATCCTGTTGCCCCTACCTTCAAAATATGTGCAGAATATGATCACTTCTCACCTCTGCGGTCACTCTGTGGTATGAAACACCACCGTCTCCCACTTGGGTTACTGCAGTAGCCTTCAACAAGTTTCTCTGCTTCACTCTTACGTCCCAGCACTCAGAGGGAACCTTTTAAAATATAACTCAGGCCATGTCATTACCTTGCTCACACCCTGCATTTACTAAAAATAAAATCCAAAGTATTTTTTGTGGAGATGGGCCTGTTTTCTAACTATACTCTTTTTCTGGGATGCTCTTTCCTTAGATAGCCACTTCCTCACCTCTGTTGATTTTTCATTCAACCATCATCTCTTCAACGAGATTTACATGACTGACGTGTTTGTTATAACAAACTTCCTTCCTGACCAACACTCCCACTCCTTCTTCTCTTGATTTATTTTTTCCAGAAAACTTACCTTTTCTAGCAGTTTTGCAATTTATGCATTTTTAAATATAGGTTACCCTTCACTGCCCCATATATAAGCTCCTTGAAGGCAGGGCTCTTTGTTTTGTAAAGTAGTATATGCCAAGTCTCTAAAATAGTGCCTGTCTCATAGTAGGCACAAAATATATATTTTCTGAGCGAGTGAAGCAAACTGTTAGCTATTTGGGTTTTTATTGTTATACACTGCATGTTCATTTTCTTTGCCCATTTTTCCTTTGGGTTGTTTGCCATTCCTTTATTGATAGATGTATTATAGATGTTAGCCCTGTTCTGTTATAACCACTGCAAATACATGCTTCTAATCTGTCGTCCCTGTGTTCACTTTATCCATAGAGTCCTTTGTTGAACAGAAGGCCTTCATTTTGAGGCATTAAAATGCATCACTTTTTTATTCTGTGATTTGTGCTTTGGAAGTTTGTTTTTCTAAAAAGAAAAAAATCCTGCATGTAGGTCATAAAATACTATATTTTTTATTTAATTAGGTTTTTAGTTTTACCTATTACAATATTTCTTTAGTATATCTGACATTCACTTTTAAATATTTGTGAAATATAGATCCAATGTTATCTTTTCTATTGGGGGAAACAGCCCCCAATATTTCAACAAAGGTTCTTTTCTATTTTCCCTAAGTGTTGGCTGGTCTGAGAAATAAAGAGAAAGAGTACAAAGAGAAGAATTTTACAGCTGGGCCACCGGGGGTGACATCACATATTGGCAGGTTCTGTGATGCCCACCTGAGCTGAAAAACCAGCAAATTTTTATTAGGGATTCTAAAAGGGGAAGGAGTGTACGAACAGGGAGTAAGTCACAAAGATCACATGCTTCAAAGGGCAATAAAAGATCATAAGGCAAAGGCAAAATTAGAATTACTGATGAGGGTCTGTGTCCCG